ACGAATGTGTCCCGCATGGTATTATTTGACAGGGATGATGGCCCTGGCAGGTGCGCAACCGTTGTCGCAGAAGTTCGAAAAAGTTGCTCGCAAAAGCCCGTTTGACAGAAATGTTTAAAAAGTGTTGGGTTTCCTACGAATCCGCAAGAGCGCGCGGGATGAGATTTTGACAATTTTTTGTTGAAAAACCATTGGTTTTTTGATGTTTTTATGTTAAAATCGCTGCGAACACTAAGGTTTTGGAAGGATTTCGTCTTGCGCGCGCGAATGTCCACTTTACCTTATTTTTTGCAAGGGATTCTTGAAATTTGATTATATTAGAACAAGAAATGTCATTTTCTATTGTTTTTTGCAAGGGAAAGCGGATTACAACAAAACAACCGGATCCTGTACACACCCTCTTTTCTGAGGCTTCCTCACGAAAATGATGAAAATGTAGCTGCGGCCTAGGCGGCGCAGGGGGGGCGCGCACCAGGGGGCCCAACAATAATTATTCTTTAGAATAAAAAATGTTCAACAACAACAACAACAACAACAATCATTTAAGACTGGGGACACTCCGTTCTCACCAGTGCCAGGGATTTCATAGGAGGCGGGCAATACCCCCACTTTGTGGGGGGGCCGGTTCAAGCTCTACCAAGTTTCCAAAGGACTCTTCGCCACCACCCACACCCAGCTTCCCGCCCTATGACGTTCGGACACTTCACTTCGTGGCCTGCGGACGACCTTGGCTACTACACTGGCGCATGGTTACAATGACTTCTTGTGGTAACATCTTGTGGAAACTAGCTGAGTATACGACTTATACCCCTGTTCCAACAATGGGCACGTGTACCGTTTTCCGACGTTTTAACGTTTCTGTACCACACAAGCCAAGACCCTTATTTTGACTGGTATCACGTGCGCGCGCGAAGAAAAAACGAATGTGTCCCGCATGGTATTATTTGACAGGGATGATGGCCCTGGCAGGTGCGCAACCGTTGTCGCAGAAGTTCGAAAAAGTTGCTCGCAAAAGCCCGTTTGACAGAAATGTTTAAAAAGTGTTGGGTTTCCTACGAATCCGCAAGAGCGCGCGGGATGAGATTTTGACATTTTTTTTTGAAAAACCATTGGTTTTTTGATGTTTTTATGTTAAAATCGCTCCGAACACTAAGCTTTTGGAAGGATTTCGTCTTGCGCGCGCGAATGTCCACTTTACCTTATTTTTTGCAAGGGATTCTTGAAATTTGATTATATTAGAACAAGAAATGTCATTTTATAGTGTTTTTTGCAAGGGAAAACGGATTACAACAAAACAACCGGATCTGGATCACATCGTTTTACCTGAGGCTTCCTCACGAAAGAATGAAAATGTGGCTGCGGCCTAGGCGCGGCGAGGGGGGCGTGCACCAGGGGGCCCAACAATAATTATTCTTTAGAAGTAATAATATTCAACAACAACAACAACAACCACAACATCAACGCCAACAACGATAACAACACACCAACAACAGCAGCAGCAATAACAGCAACGCCACCCACAACACCAACAACAACCACACCAACAACAGCAGCAACAACAAACATAAGCGTGGTTGGCATACTGTTCGCTCTCACTTGCTCGCGTGGCATGCAACACGTCTACCACAAACCCTCAATACCCGCCCTCCTCGTCTTCGATCGTACCCCCTACGGGGGGGGGGCATATCGTCCTTACCTGCCGCGTGTAAACTGTTTAGCCCCTAACAACGAGGGAAGAGAGGGCGGATGGAATGGGGGGGAGAAGGGCGGAGCACGGGATTAGCAGGAGGCGCGGCGCCTGTATAAATAGCGAAGGTGTCCCACGCGCGGGCGCACTTCCTGCATAAACTGTGAGGTCCAGCGCGAGAGCGCGATGTTAGAATGAATTGTGAGGAAGTCTGAGGCGGGCGAGCCCCGGACACAGCCAGACAGCAGCACGTTGGCGACACTATGCCACTTTTTTCAAAGGAGTCTGTCTCAGCCTCTGCATGAGCAATCTGCCCACGCAAAAAAAACTGGATGACAGATCTCAGTTCGTACAGCTGAATGTGGCCACAAGGGTTCGTGCTAAACCCGCGAACAAAGATTCAAAAAGCACGTGGGTCCAGGTTCCGAGGTGGTTCGGGGCAAACCCAAAAAAAACGGGGCTGCAACCCAAGGATTGTCACCTTCTCTTTTTTTTGTGAGGGCAGTACCTACCAAGCAAGCCAAGCGGCACACGAAGAACTTGTGGGTGGTGTGGGGTGGGCTGGTTATTTGATGATTGTGGATGGGGTTACCCATCAAAACCCTAGGCACCACCGCAAGAACTGCACGCGGAGGCACTGCTCATGGTTACCGACCTTTTTACGTATGTGGCCAGCCCCTTCCTACAGCCCAGCCTATCCAAATACCGACAGCAGTCCTCCCGCTACTCTTAATTGCAGCACGCCCAATACTATTATTGGAGGATGGGCGGGGGGTGGCTTACATGCGGAGGTTGGAGGGGACTTGCGCTACGGTTTGGGGTGCACCAAAACCCTGGGCAGCAACCCTATAACTGCACAGCAACTTTCATCTCTTACGCACAGCAAGCGTTGCACTGCCTTGTAACACGACGGCGCTCATCACCGATCTAGGATTTCTTACTTTGAGGTTTATAATGCTCGTTATGTTTTTTGTTGCTGCATTCCAGTAAGGCGGGTGTCGTCACAGCTGGCGGGCGCCTACTCTCACCAATAATCTTCTCCAACGCTCTTTCTCTTACATTTTCCACGGCGCACGCCAGGTCTTTTTTTGACCCAAGTCGTTTTTTCCCCCAACTACATCATTGACGCGACAGGCTCGAGCCTAACGTTGGTCTAACGTAAGAGGAGCAGAAAACACGGGAGAGAACCAGACGGGCTGATCAGGCGGGCAGACCCTAACGGGCGGGTCAGGAAGGCGGGCCCAGGCGGCCGGGTCGAGCAGGCGGGTTGCTGAAGCGCGCGCCCTGCATGAATCGCGAGGATGTCTCGAGCGATAGCGCGATTCCCAAGTAAATCATGAGAAAGGCCAGAGACAGCGTGATTCAAGAGTGTCGGGGGCGCGGCGCCTGTATAAATTACGTAGATCTCCCACGCGGCAGCGCGATTCCTGCATAAGTTGTGGCGAAGTCCCTCGCGAGAGCGCCATTTTGGAATACATTGTGAGACGGTATCGGGCGGGAGCCGTTGTTTTTGTAGCCCGGGGGCATCAACACAGTTTGAGCAGGAAGTCTTTCCTTATACCGAACATGGTACGCGCCCCAAGGGGGGCAATTTAATTGAAAAACACAATGTGTACCAGTGGGGGAGATCAACAACAAATATCCTGCAAGAACGGAAATTCAACAGCAACAAAAAACAAAAACAAAAACAAAAACAAAAACAACAACAACAACAACAACCACAACCACAACAACAACAACAACAACAACAACAACAACAACAACAATCACTTTACCCGAACGCTCAGTGTTCTCACCAGTGCCAGGGTTTTCATGCGACGCCAGCCAATACCCCCACTTTGTGGGGGGGCAGTGCAAGCTCTACCAAATATCCACACGACTCTTCGCCACCACCCACACCCAGCTTCCCGCCCTATGACGTTCGGACACTTCACTTCGTGGCCTGCGGACGACCGTGGCTACTACACTGGCGTGGAGTACACACCCACAGAAGTTGTTAAGCCTACGTTCGTACACCCACAGAAGTTGTTAAGCCTTGTTAACCCACAGAAGTTGTTAAGCCTTCCACAGAACATCTGTTGCATATGATGCATATGGTACATGATACACATGATACACATGATACGTACTCACAAGATAGTTGATCACATCTTTAGGGCAAATTCCTGAGGGATGTGGGAATACACAAGAGAGAGAGGATATGGTTGTCCCGATGGTTGTCTCGATGGTTGTCCCGATGGTTGTCCTGATGGTTGTGGTTGTCCCGATCGTTGTCCCGATGATTGTCCCGATGGTTGTCCTGATGGTTGTGCTTGTCCCGATCGTTGTCCCGATGACTGTCCCGATGATTGTCCCGATGGTTGTCCCGATGGTTGTTCCGATGGTTGTCCCGATGGTTGTCCCGATGGTTGTGAGCGATGCCGGATCCTCAGCGCGCGCGGGTAGAAATTTTGAAAAGTCGTGCAGGTGTTTTTCGAGGACCTACGGTGCGATTCGTGTGATTTTATGATGCGCGGTGCTAAAAAGAAGCCCAATGGTTTTTGGAGATTTCGGCGTGCGCGCGCGAAGAAAAAACGAATGTGTCCCGCATGGTATTATTTGACAGGGATGATGGCCCTGGCAGGTGCGCAACCGTTGTCGCAGAAGTTCGAAAAAGTTGCTCGCAAAAGCCCGTTTGACAGAAATGTTTAAAAAGTGTTGGGTTTCCTACGAATCCGCAAGAGCGCGCGGGATGAGATTTTGACAATTTTTTTGTTGAAAAACCATTGGTTTTTTGATGTTTTTATGTTAAAATCGCTGCGAACACTAAGGTTTTGGAAGGATTTCGTCTTGCGCGCGCGAATGTCCACTTTACCTTATTTTTTGCAAGGGATTCTTGAAATTTGATTATATTAGAACAAGAAATGTCATTTTCTATTGTTTTTTGCAAGGGAAAGCGGATTACAACAAAACAACCGGATCCTGTACACACCCTCTTTTCTGAGGCTTCCTCACGAAAATGATGAAAATGTAGCTGCGGCCTAGGCGGCGCAGGGGGGGCGCGCACCAGGGGGCCCAACAATAATTATTCTTTAGAATAAATAATGTTCAACAACAACAACAACAACAACAACAACAACAACAACAACGACAACGACAACGACAACAACAACGACAACGACAACGGCAACAACAACAACTTCGTCGTCGCCATCAACATCCTCGTGTGGTCATCATCAACATCGCCAACACCGCCGGCGTCGTCATCCGCCTCGCCCCCTCCGTCGTCGTCGCCGTCGTCGTCACTGCCAGGGCGGTGGACGCCCACCGGAGCCTTGTAGGCGCTGGCGATCTCGACCTCGCTGGCCGTGCGGCTCACGCCGAGGACCTCGTAGTGGTCGCTGGTGGCGAAGTCCATCGGCCACGCGCCGACAGGGCCGAGGTTGCAAGAGGTGATCCTGGCTCAGCGCGCCCCGGCTTTTCGGCGCGATGCTGGAACCACCTGGACCCGACTTGACTACCTACCAGACCACCCCAACCCAACCCGAAGACCCCAATTTCGGGTTGGGGGGGGGTACGGGCTCCATATGTGTTTTTTCAGTGCTCCCCGCGCCACCCCCAACTGGGAACGGAGGGCAAATTGAGGCCTTCGGGTTGGGTTGGGGTGGTTTGGTGGGTGGTGACGACTGGGCCTCGTCGGGGGCGCTCTCCGAGGCCATAAAAGCTGAAGACACGCACTTGGGCGTGGCTCGATGGGGGGGTCATAAATGGGGGGGTCAGAAACGGTCCCCTTTCGTGCCCCTTTCGGGCCCCTCCGGAGCCCCAGGGGGCTCGTTCGGGTACCGTTTGGGTACCTTTTCGGACCACCCTCGCCACCCCCCTATTCATGACCCCTCCATTACGCAACGCCCAACGCCCTGGGCCAGGGCCACCTCCGGCAACACCCGAGGCGCAAAGGGGGGGCGGCGCCACAAAAACACGCTCGGCCCAGCACGGCCACTCTGCTCGGGCGCCGGCGGCGCGCCTCCGCACGGCCAGACGCTGGGGCACTTCGGCTCCCGGCCAGGACCCAGGTGTCCGGGCCGCCCTTCCGTGCCACCATGCTGGTGGGACCCGGCTCCCCCCCCCCCGCTCACCCCACCGACAGTTCCCCCGCGCCCCCCCCCCCGTCATCCGCCAGATACACCAAGGTCTAGCCCAAACTGGGCGTGCGGATGCCTGGCGGCGGCGTGCGCTTACGCTGCGTCCGAACTCCATTGCTTCGGGTTTGACAAAGAATACGGGGAGCTACCAGAAACAATCGCTTTCACTCGATTGGAGCTCAAGCGGATCGAGCTCACGGAGAGGCGACGCCTGGCATAAGATCGAATCAAACCCACGGTATCTCAGAAGTCAAGCTGCCTTCCCTGAGCAATGGTAGCACCAGAAGTAGGAGGCGCCTCCTCCTTCTGGCATTACCATTGCCTCGTCGTCGTCGTCCGCGGAGGAGGACGACGACGAGGAAGAGGAGGGGAAGAATGAAAAACGAGACGGTTCCGCGCGCCCGCCACACTGCAGAGCAGAAGCAATGCGACAAAGCTTGGGCAGGCGGCGCGAACAAAGGAAAACCAGACCAGGCGCTCAGAGGTAGAATAAAGCCACATGCTGATCTCGATGGTGCGTAGAGGCATTCGCTGTAAACAGTCGCCGTCCGTAGTTTGCCACAGTGGACTGGGGTCCAACCAGATTCAACCACGCTGCCCCCCCTATCTCCCAAACTTCGGACGAGCTCCATCCTCCTCAGGATGCCGGAGTCACCGCTTGAGGGGCGCCGAGCTAGCATCGGCCCTTCTCCTATGCACCCCCCGTCGTCGGCAGCAGCAGAAGGACGAGGAGGATGAGCAGCAGGAAGAGGGTGAGGCGGACAAGGAGGATGGGCAGGAGGCGGGGGCGGAGAAGGACGGGAAGAATGCGGGGTAAAGGAAGGGAGAAGGGGAAGAGCGCAATACAAAACAATTATCCCAGTGCGGCCCTACCTAGGAGTTGGAGCCCCTAGGAAAGCAGCATTAGTAGTAACAGAAAAGCTAAGATAAAGCTAAGCTAAAGCTAAGCTAGAGCTAAGCTAAAGCTAAGCTAGAGCTACGGTAAAGCTAAGCTAAAGTTAAGCTAAAGCTAAGCTAAAGCTAAGATAAAGCTAAGCTAAAGCTAAGCTAAAGATAAGCTGAAACTAAGCTAACGCTAAGCTAGAGCTAAGCTAGAGCTAAGCTAGAGCTAAGCTGAAGCTGAGCTAAAGCTAAGCTGAAGCTAAGCTGAAGCTAAGCTAAAGCTAAGCTGAAGCTAAGCTAGAGCTAAGCTAAAGCTAAGCTGAACCTAAGCTGACGCTAAGCTAGAGCTAAGCTAAAGCTAAGCTGAAGCTGAGCTAAAGATAAGCTGAAGCTAAGCTGAAGCTAAGCTAAAGCTAAGCTGAAGCTAAGCTAGAGCTAAGCTAAAGCTAAGCTGAACCTAAGCTAAGCTAGAGCTAAGCTGAAGCTAAGCTGCTAAGCTAAGCTAAAGCTAAGCTAAAGCTAAGCTAAAGCTAAGCTAAAGCTAAGCTAAAGCTAAGCTAAAGCTAAGCTAAAGCTAAGCTAAGCTAAAGCTAAGCTAAAGCTAAGCTAGAGCTAAGCTGAAGCTAAGCTAACGATAAGCTAGAGCTAAGCTAGAGCTAAGCTAAAGCTAAGCTAAAGCTAAGCTGAAGCTAAGCTAGAGCTAAGCTAAAGCTAAGCTAGAGCTAAGCTGAAGCTAAGCTGAAGCTAAGCTGAAGCTAAGCTAGAACTAAGCCAGAGCTAAGCTGAAGCTAAGCTGAAGCTAAGCTAAAGCTACGTTAAAGCTAAGCTGAAGCTAAGCTAAAGTTAAGTTAAAGCTAAGCCAAAGCTAAGCTAAAACTAAGCTAAAGCTAAGCTAAAGCTAAGCTGAAGCTAAGCTAAGCTGGGTGAACCCAGGGGGCGCGACTGGGGGAACCGCGGGGCGGGGACTGGGGGAACCGCCCGGGGCGATTTACACTGCCCGGCCCCTTTAAGCTAAGAGAGTAAGAACCCTTCTAGGCAGAGCCTAGGTAGGGAAAAAGCGTGGAGGCATTTCGGCCGACCTCATTGGAGAGGACTGACACGAGCGAGAAAAAAGGAGCCACCAGGACAACATACCGTCGTGCTGCAGTAGTAGTAATCGCCGACATCATGTCGAGTAGGTGTACCCGCTAGAGCAAGTGATGAGAAGAGAACAGATGAGAAAACAAGAGAAGAAGAGCGGGCGCATGCGGAGCGAGGAGGAGGAAGGAGGGGAGATAAAGAGAGAGAGAGAGAGATCAAACAAAAAACATAAAAAGGGGCAGAGAAACAGAGACACATACACAGATACAGACACAGACACAGACAGAGAGAGGTAAAGGGGAGGGGAGGGGAGGAGGACCAGCATTCCAAAAGCCTGCGAGGAACAGCGGCGCGCTCAACACCGCCATCAGCGAGTACCGGACGGCAGTGATGACCGAGCTGTCCTCTGCGCCGCCAGAGAAGGAGAGCGGAAGGGGGAGGGGGGGAGGGGGAGGCAGATGGAAGAGGGAGGCGGAGAAGGGGGGGGGAGGAAGGGGGGAAAATAAAAAAGGGGGAGAGAAAGAGAGAGGTCGGGGGCGAGATGGGACAGACATAAAGAGAGAGAGGGGAAAAGGGGGGGGGGGCAGGAGGAAGATGATGATGATGATGAGGAGGAGGAGGAGGCGGAGGAGTAAGTGGAAAGGAAGGAATTTGTGGAGTGAGGAGAGAAGGAGTGAGGAGGAGGAGGAGGAGGGAAGGGGTGGGGCAGGAGAACAGGGAGGAACAGGAGGAACAGGAGGAACAGGAGGAAGAGGAGGAGGAGGAGGAGGAACTCCTGCGGGGGCCGCAGTCAGCCGCTCCTTGCCCGTGCCCTGGGACTGGCGCACCGACGGCCCGCAGGCTTGGCGCCCCGTGCCGGGTGCCCCGTGGCTCCCACGGTGCCACAAGAGGGCGGCCGCCCCTGGTCGGTGCCCCCTGGCTGGTGCCCCCGGCGGCTTCCCGGCTCGGTCGGAGGAGGCAGAGGAGGAGGAGGGGGAGGAGGGGGATGATGATGATGATGATGAGGAGGAGGAGGAGGAGGCGGAGGAGGAGGAGGCGGAGGAGGAGGAGGAGGAGGCGGAGGAGGAGGAGGAGGAGGAGGAGGAGGAGGAGGAGAGGGGGGGTAGGAGGGGGAGGAGGGGGAGGAGGGGGGTCAGCGGCCGTGCCTGGCGGCGCGCACAAGGGTGTAGGGGGGAGGAGGGCTTCTTAGAAGGAGGCTGCTTCTTAGAAGGCGCGGCCTTCCATCGATGGAGAGGGCCCGCGCCTTCTAAGAAGCAGGGGCGCTTCTAAGAAGCCTTTCTCCCTCCCCCTACCCCCCTTCGGCGCGTGGCCGATGTACGTTGCATTGATTTACAATCGACCCGTATCACAAGGATGCGCGATCAGGATGCAAGGGCCTTTTGGACGCCCATGCCGAGGCTCCTCGAGCGGAGCGCGGCCGACGAAAGTGGGCCAAGGATGGTCTCTGGAGGCAAGAATGCAAGGGTACCCTTGGGAAGGCTGCCCATCCTTACTATGCGGGTCGACTGTACTGTGCACCACACTACAGCAGGAGCTCGACCACAAGAAACGTCACGCTTTCCATAGCAAAACCATCGAAACCCAATAATCCCAGGGCACCCTGGAGGCAAGCAGGGTGTTTCTGAGCATGGGTTCCCATTGTACTTTGCACAGCATTGCTCACGCCACAGAAAATCCAGAACATATTGCTTTGGTAGGCCCACGCGCCGGCATCATCACTTCCTCTCACAATTCCGCAAGTCCGCCACAGTGCACCCGGCACACTGGGGCATGCTCGAGTGCCTGTTGGCTGTATGCCAGGGTGTCTGTAACTTTCCAGGCGCGACCTCCCCGTCGCCGCACGCGTCACTCACAGATCGCCCACCCCCGGAGATGGGCCCAGACCGCCGCAAGAGAGCTCCAAGGCAGCCTCACGCCCCAACCAAGCGGCACAGATACCAGCCTACAGAGACCCGAAGACCCCAAGGGGCTTCAAGATCCCCTTAAGAGACCCCAAGAAGAAGCGCCACGAGGAGGAGGAGGAGGAGGAGGAGGAGCCCGGAGAGGCGCCCCAGGAGGCCTCCTGCCGGGCCACGGGAGACGAAAAATCACGAGCATCTGAAAGGTCTTCGTTGCCTTGTGTGCTTCTGGCTTGCGCTGGGGCTACAGAAGGCCCCCGAGGGGACGGCCCCGGAGGACCCCAACAGGCATCAGGACGGCCCCAAAAGGAGGCTCAAATAGCACTCCTGGCGGCCCAAGACCGCCCGAAGAGAGCCCCATGGCGGCCACGAGACCCGAACAAACCGCCACACGAGGGGACGGCCCCGGAGGACCCCAACAGGCATCAGGACGGCCCCAAAAGGAGGCTCAAATGGCACTCCTGGCGGCCCAGGACCGCCCGAGGAGAGCCCCTCCTGGCGGCCACAGGACCCGAACCAACCGCCACGAGATGGCTCCAGCCGGGCAGAGCCGTGGCGTCCGCTTGCCCCAAAAAGGCCCTGATGGGGCCACCAAGAGGATCCAAGAGCCCCTGAGGAGCATCCAAGACGCCCTCAAGAGGGAGGAGGGGGGAGGAAGAAAGAGTAGGAAGAGGGGAGCGATGCTGAGGACACACAGGGCACTGAACCGGAGCAGGTATTGAATTCCTCCTTCTCCTCTTCCTCCTCCTCCTCCTCCTCCCGCCTTCTGTGCTGCTGCGCTGGCACGGCAAGGGGTTGCGGCAGGCAGCTGGATGGCGAAAGCTACAAACGGCACATTCCACATCTTAAGAGACGCCCTGCGACACCCAAAACGCGACCCGGTAGTGCAGGGCCGTGCCGTGCTGCACTTCGTTGCGCCATGGTGCCACGCTGCGCCCTGCCATGCCGTGCCACGGCGCCGTGACCTGCCGCGCCGTGGCGCTCCATCCCACCAGCCCTCTGGGCGTAGGTGGTCTAGGGAGTGTCCTCTTCCAGCCCCCTATCCCCCTCAGGAAGGGGTTCACCCCTCCCCCCTACCCCCTCCCCTGGACCTGGACGGGGTGCC